AATATGGTTAAATGGCTTTAGGTTCTGAGACCGTTGTAACCTGCCTGCTTGGAAATCTTCCATACTTTTGCCTTCAGCAAGCCATGAGATCACATCCTATTTTCTTACAAAGCGCTCCTGAAATCAGTGACCGTTGGCAGGACTACAGTCCTTTGATTACTGGGATCCCGAAGCACATTCTTGTATTTTGTTTTCTGCACACATGCTATACTACACCTCATTTTATCATCACGTTTCATTTAAATTGAAAGCAGAACAACTAAATATCAAAAGTCAGTGAATGAATTTACATGTACTAGTGCTTACAGCTAAACAGTGAAATTCCCACTGTGTTATGTACTCATACTCTGTTATCTGCTGAAACAGTACTATTTAATTTTGAGATATTATAAAATGTGTAGCAAAATGGAAAACAGCTTTGCTATTAACTAGTGACTCACTGGAAGTAAACAAGTCAGTTTCCAGAATTAATTTTCAACTTGATATCTCTTGATAAACTAGAAGATATCTCATCATTTAAAGGAATGATAATATGGCAAAATTATGACAGTGTTTTCAGAAGAGGACAGGTGGCCTGAATTAAGCCTCAATTAAGATTTTTAAATTATGAAATACTACATTTACACAGTATAGTCAGTATATCTTCCCACCGATACATCAACTAGTGAATATGATAGAAGCTTTCACATTAATTATAATGACTACTTCATTAATGGAAGTGCAAAAATGTTTGTGTAATCTGATTCAATTTATTGAATTAGATTACAGTTTATCAGTCTGAAAGCAATGTCCTTCTTTATTTCTGCAATATGTTAGTTCATCCTTAACAGATAAATGGTACATCATACAACAATACTAATCAAAAGTAATGCTCATGTTAAAAGTGATCAAGCACTAATAATCAAAGCACTGAGTTAAGGCCTTTTAAAAGAAATATGTGATAGTCACTCTGCTTTAATGACACCTATGTTTTAATCAACACAGGATTGTAAAACACATGGACAACATAAAATAAGTAACTGAACAAAAGGTTTGCTTCTCAAAAGGACCAAGTAGGTAACTCAATTTTTTTTTTAATTCTAGCTCCTGCAATACTCTCAAGAAACCATCTCAACTCACTTGTCTAATTTAAATGCACTCTTAAGACTTTATGGGATTAATGCTAAAAGACTCCAAACAACTGACTTTGTGTCCTGGCAGCATCAAATACGATGTGAGCATAACAATAATTATTATATTTTAAGCTTTTTTTCAGTTCTGCCAAATACATTAAATAGCTACAAATTACATTTGTACAAAATACATTAAATAGCTGTGAACCAGTAAACATGAAATTATTTAGTTATATTATTAATGTTTCTTTAAATGCCAAATAATTCAATTTTCTGTTTTAGAAGAAGTATTGTCACACAGTCAACAGCTGTGTATGCAAACGACATTTATCCCTCACGCTGAAATGATCCATACAAAACCTTGCAATTCTCACTTTATCCTAACCCTCCATAAAAATATTTCATACCTCAGACAGTTCTGCACAGGACAGAAACTGAAGCAAACTTTTACTAATTGGGGTCACAGGGAAAGAGAGAAAGTAAGAATGGGATTAGAAATTATATTTCCAGATTATCACTTAAGAGAAAAAGAAGAGAACAAAAGCATTGAATGTAGGAAAGTAGTTATAATTTGAATAAATGAAATATTTCAGAGGGGACTTAATATCTTCACAATGGAAAAGAAGAGTTTGGTATCAAACGTGGAATAAGTGGATAAAAGTACTTGTCACATAAAGCAAATCTGTTCAAGATGATAATGATAGTAACAGTAATAATAACTACTGATATTAATTTAACATGAAGTTAACAAAATAATAAATTGAACATGGAAGGTGCTTTGAAATTTCTGGACAAAGAGAAAGCTGTAGACATATATGAAAATAGTATTCTTATCATCCCCTGTAGTAATGACTTCCTAAAGCACTACAGATTCACATTTTATCACTGAAATATGTGGTTTCTGAAACAAATGCAAGAGCTTTACTGTTAATATTTTTCATTACATTATCATCTCAAGCCAAATTGTGGAAAAATTGAGTCCAAAGCTTTAAAAAAAAAAGTTTTGAAATCTAAAATACTTAAGAATAATTATAAAAATTCTTAATATGAAAAATGTAGAGAATAGCTTTTCAACAATGATGTGAAAATAATGGCAACATCATTTTTTATGTCATATAGTAGCTGCAGACAAAAATATACAGGGCACAATGTATATCATACATGAAACTCATACGCTATTGCACTTCAGGTCTAGAAAATTTTGAAACATGCAGGCCAACAAAAGATCTGCAATATACAGAGGATTGGAACAGCTTCAAAGCAGTCTCGAGAGAAGCCTATCTGAACCTATGCTGGACTCTTCTTCTGACTGTATCTCCAGTTGCATTCATAACAGGCCCAGCAGATTTTAATTCTCTGGAGAACTCAAGAAAATTTTAATTTACCATTATTACACATTTCTCTTTTTTGCTACAACTTCAAATCCATAAAAACTTTTCTAAAACAAATTCTAAGTGACAATGTAACCTTCTCTGTGTGTGTTTTCATAATTAGACCAGTAATAGAATACAGTTTCAAGGGATCCTAAACTTGGCCTCCTGCAAAAATATACAATTATGAATGTTTATAAGAAATCTCAACAAACAATTCTGTACCAATATTATCTGCATACATAAGTGAAGGACACAAAAACGACTCCTTTGGAAGCCAGTATTCTTAGACTTAAGTGCATACTTCTGTATTGTGCAGCAATTTTTTTTTTTTTTTTTTTTTTTAAGAGGGAGATATTTTCCTGTAAAAATCACACATAAGATCCTAGCATACTTAACAGATCTGTGTTATTTGAACAACACTAAATAGCATATAATTATGTGTGTGATCACTTATATACTTCTGTAGGCTGGAAGAAAACTTGGTTACTACACTATGATATTTAAATCAGTGAAAAAACTTAAAAAGGAGGATAAATAAAATATTTAATGACTTGCAACTTTTTTTTTCCCCCAAGTTTGGAGCTGGATTCTAACAGAAAATTCAAACTTCAATTTCTCAAACAAGAAGACATTTTAGGCTGCTTGTTTGAAGGCAATTCAGGGAATAAGGTGCTGGAACAGGCTGCCCAGAGAGGTTGTGGATGCACCGTCCGTGAAGGTGCCACGTTGGATGGGGCATTGGGCAACCTGGTCTAGTATTAAATGTGGAGGTTGGTGGCCCTGCCTGTGGCAGGGGGGTTGGAAGTCCATGATCCATGAGGTCCTTTCCAAACTGGGCAATTCTGTGATTCTGTGGCACAAAGAGAGGTTCAGAGAACCAGAACTGTTCAACTCAAAGAAGGCTTAGGGGATTGTTACAAATGTGTAAACTTATTTGTCTCTCCTTCTTTCCTGGCATCTCAATTTCTTTGGTATTTTGCTGTTTTACTTCCCCCCCAGAATTTTATTTTTCTTTGCAATTTTTTATCTCCTCCACATAAATATGGATACCTGTACCCTCTGTCCTTTTCCCACATACACCCTATCTCCTATTCTCTTATTCCATTCTACTCTGCACCAGTTCTGTCTCCTACACCAGACTTTATCCTGTAGTTTCTTAATCTTAATTGCTTTTCTCTTATTTTTTTTTTTATTTTGCTGGTGTCACAACTGCTCAGATTGCCCCTCTGAGTACTACTTGCAAGACACCATCAAATGCTCACCTACACTTTCAGTCTCATCTTCCTTCACTTTGTTTACTTAATGCTCTTTCATTTGTCAGCCTCATTTGCCTGACTTCATTTCATTTTGTCATTCCTCTTTATCTGTAGTGATTCAGAAAACTATAAATATCTATATCATCACGTAGAGCAGTTATTTGTCCAGAAGGCCAAGAGGCCTGGCTAAACATTTGTCCACAGAACTAAACCCTCTTCCGCACCTTGCTCCTTGAGACAAGAAACTTGCATCCAAATTGCCAACAGCTTTTGGCACGTGTTATTTCCTGAGCTGTGCACTGTTTTGGAATGCACTAATCAGCTATGACCAAAACCATGCCAAAGATCATGCTCATACTTAAATAGACACAACATATACTCAAACATCTACCTATTAATTGAATCTCCAAGGCCCAATAATCCTGCTCCCTGCTTAGTTCTGTGTAGATTATTCTTTCCTCTGCTTTAGAGAACGTCACTAACTAGAGACTGAGCTGTGCAAACAAGTAGGGAACTGAAAAGGAAGTGGAGGCTCAGGTGAATGTTGCTGAAGCAAGCAGGAGATTTTAACTAAACTGTAAGATGAAAACAGAGAATGTAGCAGTAGGGTCAACAGATTGGCTGTTGGGTGCCTTCAGACGGCTCTATTTAATTCCTGCCTGCAACACAGCCTTTCTTAATTTAATTCTGACTAGGAGCAAGGCACAGTTAAAAGATATAGTAACTTTCAAAAGAAAACAGTAGTTTAAGAAGGAGATTGTTGCTGGACTTTACGTTAGCATAAGGCCTCGGGAGATGTATCATAAATAGAATTTCAGAATGAAAAATTAAGAAATATATGTGTGCAGCATGGAGTTATTTTAACTAATTCAGTTTCTTCAGGAAACTGTATTCATGATGATGTTATCTAATCAAGCAAAGAAGAAAAAAAGATACATGATCTACCAAAATGAATGGTGAGATCATTTTCTAATGATAGGTAAGGAAGTTCATACTTTGAAAGGTTTTTTGTTTATAAAAAGCAAGGGGAAAATTTATAATTATCTTTTTTTTTTTTATTATCATTTGCTGACATTTGTATTTTAAAGTACCCAGCTGCCAAAATTTCTATTACATACATTTATGTAGCAATAATGTTACATTACAGAACTCATTTGAAATTAGGACGCTGGTTTCCTAGACTGTTAATTTATTGGCAAGTGAATATAAGCCAAGTGTTCAAAAGACTGCTTGTGTCAAGGTACTTCTAGCAATCCTACCTGTTGGCGGGATGATTCCAGGAGACATTAGGCCTGGGACAGAATGTGGCATGATATGAGAATTCTCTGGGGAGGTGACACTTTGAGTCCTCTTAGGAGGCCTTCCAGGTCTAGAACTGAAACAAACAAACAAAAAATTTTTACAATTAAGCTGTTGTCTTACACATCATTTCAAAGTTGTTTCAAGTGGTAACATGGACTGTAAATAAATTTGTTTCAAGGACGGTTGCTTTTGCAGTTAGATGTAATAGACTTCCATCACTAATTAGATTACATGCTGAATTCATTTTCTTCATTGAAGATCAGCCACTCTTGATGCATAATTCATAGCGTGCACCTCGTTACCTGCTTCTTCATATTAATATCTATACACAGTTTGAATTGCCTCGTTTGCATATGCTAAAGTTCTGCATGCAGCCTTCAGCACGAAAATTATGCACTAACTTGTAATAATTATTACAGTCAGCCTGCTATTGATTTATGAGACTTTTAAAAACCAAATATGTGTAGTACTTGTAATGAATGATATTTTAAGGTTCTTCAGGAAATTAAAAGGCAATGGCTGCCTAAGGAAATGTTCTGCTTGTTTGATTTAATACTACAGTTAGCTGGGAGGTGGAATGAAAGAGTGATTCAGACCTATAGCACATTTTTCGATGATATGTTTTATTACTTTGCACTGCTAGCCTGATATCTAGATGATAAATGACAATACATATCTAATGTGTGAAAAGGTCTTGCAATTTCTTTATTTTTTGTCATTTAAAAGATAAGTCAAGTTATCATTTAACCCTTATTCTTTTTAAAGTGAAAATCTCACTAAGTCACCTTCTTTAAATATACTACTTTATGCCAGAAATGAATCAGAATTTTTTTGTTAAGATACTGTTAAGCAACTGCCGCCATAGCAGCTTACTTCTGTCCAGCATGGGAAAATAAAGGGCTTCAGGTTTAAACACTCCCTGCCTGTTAAATGCTCTCATACACAACTTTCCATCTCCTGGACTCTGTAAGTAGCATACAAATTAGATACAGATTACAATAACAATACTTATTACCCACTTACATGCAAATATGTATCTGCTACATATAATGCATATCCAAAGGCCCTCATTCCTATGTATAGATCATAACAGGGTTCTATTGCAATACCCTGTACATGCTTATTTAGGGGACATTTGGATGACTTCACAAAAAAGATGATATGATATGCACTTGTAAGAAATCACTGTTAAATTACGGTTTGCCATACATTTGGCATTCTCCATTTATTCCAAAAGGGAAAAAAAAAGGCTGTGGAAGGTTTGGCCCCTTATATCCTTACACTATCAAAGCTTTTATCAAAGACAATGGATTTTTAGCTATACTGGAAGTACAGAAGGAGGAAGGTAATAAAATACCTGCATTTTCTGTGTATATTACCTACCCTCATATTTGGAAATATCTCTCTTTTTGCAACTTCTATCTTTAATAAACCAAAAACAATCAAAGTACAGGGCATTTTCTTGGAGTTTAATGACTCAAGGTATTGAGTCATTAACCTTAACTGATCATTAATTCCCAACTTAATGTCCTGAGCTAAGGTCATTATCAAAATTATAAGCTCGATAATTTCTTTGATTGATTTGGGTTATTTCATTTTCCTTAATACAAACAAAATCATAACATGTTCACAACTACAAGAAAAAACAGTTGTCGAAAAATAATATTGTCTTATTGCAGCTCAGAGAACCAAACTTAGTGTCTTCATCTCCTTTGAAATTTCCTTGGTAATTTGCAATGAAAACAAACATACCATGAATGCACATAAAACTGATAAAAATTATAGACAAAAATGATTTGATTTAAATGAAATGTTTCTAATATATTCAAACGCACACACACAAAAAAATCCACTATGTAAAAAAACTTTAATGGCTTTTTAAAATATCTATGATAATGCACTGTTCTCAAATAAGAGTTATGATGTGAGTACAGAAGGGTCCAATAACAGCATACAAAAGAGGTGTGCTATGTATGGTGTAGTGTACCAACAGCTCCAAGTCTTTAAAAACTTCACTCCTGCAAAGATTCTCTTTGACAAATTAGTGCTTACTGCCAAATTGTCACAATAAAGACAAAATTATTTTGTCTCAGTATGCAATTTTTGCAAATGTACACAAGAGGACTAACGCCCTTTGTAAAGTCTATGAGAAAACATTTGCAAACTGATCTGGTAAGCAAAGGTCAGAAGCAAACCATAGGTAAATTTCTGAAATAACAAAGGCAAAATTCATCCTTAGGTCACCTCTTACATCAGGTCAGCTGTTACGCCCTACACAAAATGTCTGTTGCGCTCAAAGGCATAAATGATCCCAGTAACACAATTTTATGCTGTGATTTATCACAAACTTCATCAAATAACTATTTTCAAGAAGCTCTGAACTTCAAATTCTAATCCAATTAACAATATTTAAATATATATTCAGGCAAGTAAACTGCTTTTGTCCTCATGCAATTATTAAGTGATAAAACAGCAACTCTAGTACAAAAAAGACTTTCCTCTGTTTATAAAATGTTCATTACAACCAGGAGGAAAAAACAAATGTAATATCTTTTTTTAGTCCAGAAGATCTCATTTAGATTAGCAGCAAACTATATAATATGGAACTAAAATGAGTAAAGCTCTGACTGGTTATACTTAGTACACACCCATTGTCCACAGTAAATAATTAAATAACAATATTTGTCTTGATCTGTTTGTTATGTTACATATTTGTTCCATTAATGCAATTCCTAAATTGAAATACCAGCATTTTATAAGATCTGTTTTTAAAATGTAAGTAATAAAAACTGAGTTTTTTATAAATCACTACCAAAACTGAAAAAATGCATTAAAATTTCTTTTTTTAAAAAAAAACTGATTCCAGATTGAAAACTTGCTTGTTGTTTTAAAGCTCATTATCATTTTTATATTCATATTATGAACCATTAAAAAAAAAAAAAATTAGAAGAATACCAAATGCCTTTAAGTATCACAAACAAAATAATAAAAATAACTTACTGAATCATTTTGTTGACATTCATAGAATCACGGAACAATTACAGTTGGATAAGACCTCTAAAATCATCTAATCCACACATCATCCCACCACCACCATGCTCACTAAACCATGTCCCCATGTGCCACATCTACACATTTTTTGAATGTCTCCAGGAATGGTGACTTCACCAGTTCCTGGGGCAAACTGTTCTAACGCATTACCACCCGATCTGAGAAGAATTTTTTCCTAATAACTAACTTTTCTAAACTTCCAAACTTTCTGAACACAAGTTCACTTTCATTCCAAGGTAGGAAACATTCTTCCAACTACTCACATTTGTACTTCTTCTCAAAATCAGAAGATTTGCAAGGTATGAGCTTATTTTTTATGCAAACGACATAATAAAATGACAGAGCAATGTAAACCATTTTTTCCAGCTGAATTCAGTGAGATACAAAAAATGTCAATTAAAAAATTTTGATAATCCTCCTTTGGCCCTTCCAAAACTAGATTGAACACCTAAGCTTTTATATATATTTTAAAGATACTGTAATAGTTTGGTTTATATCTGAATAAAACCTATAGACTGTAATATTGGTTCTTCTAAAAATAGGCTTAAGATAATGATGAATATACCAATGGGTAAACTATGAAAAGCCAAATCATTTTGATTCTAAAGATGACAACATTGCAAAAAGAAGCCAACATATAACAATATCAAGGGTAACAGCACTAGGTACTGTGGAGTCCTTTGAGACCCTGCAGGAAGACAGTAGAAGAAACAGACCTGGAAGTCATAGATATTCTTCCTTCTTTCTGTTTCATTATTTGAGGATAAAATTTGAGAGGGCAGAACAATTAAACAAAACTTCCCAGAAGCACCAATGATTAACTGCTTCAAGAGCTGAGAAGAAGCCACAGGGGAAGTTACCACTTCCTTTTCTGTCATTCTGCTTTTATAAATCTAAATACTTAAGCTAGAATTTTTTCTCTCTAAAATTTAAATTTTCATTCATGAGAGTTCTTTAAGTATGCCTGAATATTACTAACATAGCACTCAGTTTTGAAGTGATGCACCTAAACACATTTAGCTCTCTCAAAAGTTGTGTGCTCTATATAGGCTTATGTAAGCTTTATATCCACATTTTCAGTCTTTTTCACAGCTTGAAAGATATTCCCACAGGCAGTTGAGTTTTATGTTTGTAGACAATCGTCACAATTTACATTTCCAATATACCATTATGTGACAGGAGACCTAAAAGTGCACACTGGTGAATCTTGAAACTCTCAAAAGGAGAAAGAATGATTTCCCTTTTGCATCAGCTAATTAGATATTCAGAGCTCCTTCCAGAAATACTGAAAATAAATCCACCTTTTTTTTTTTTTTTTTTATCAGATCTGTAATTCATCCCTTTAACTTTCACAAGCACTTCAAACAATACTATGGCTCTAACGTTTTCATCTTTGAAAGTAAGATTATACATGTTTTTTCTACTGTGACTGGCAGAAAAGTTATAAAACATGACAAGAAACTGAGAGGATGTTGTCCAAAAATACAACAAGTTCTCTGAAGGGAGAATAGTTCTTTTTTTGGTCTTCTGATCAATGTATATCATTCATAAATCTTTCCTGTGTTACTGAATCTAGACAACAACAGATGGTGGAATTAAACAATAAAAAAATAGCAGAAACTGTGGTTATCATCAGATAAAATGCTGTGCTTTGATTACACTTATAAAAGTTTTATACACCTCCAATTGTATTATCAAACTACAAGCTTGCTCCCAGAAATAATTTTGATAGTGCAAAACAATTAAAAGCAGATATAATCAGCAGAAAATGTGATCTAGCAAAATCACGTGGAAAGAGGTGAAGGGAGAATAGGAATAGTTCTAATGGCAGTCTTTAAAAGTAAGCAGATTTTTCATTCTGCACTTTTTACTATCTTCCAGAAGACAGCCATGGGCTTAAAATTTAAGGGTCTCACTCCTGAAAGACACACGGACCTCCCACTGATTTCTATTAGAATTATGAGCACAAAGGAAGGTATTGGCTCAAAACCAGCCTAAATTCTTTATGAGTAGTACATACAT